TGGAAAACAAATATACACAGAGTAGCTTCTGCAACCAACAGCTGCCATCGCTTTGGGAATTGCAACAAGTTCTTGTCTTTTCTGGACAAGCATAAGCACTGTCATTTTACATACCTCTAATGCCCACAAAACAAAAACACACAAGCACTGAATCAATATGATAAAATACTGGAAAAGAGATGTGAAAACAGAGCTCAGGAATGGTATTTTCCTTTTGACAGCTACACAATTGCTATAGACAAAGCCATGAAAGCATGCTTGCAGAAAGCATCTGACGTAGAATAAAACCTGTGCCTAAGGCATCTGACAAATTCTTCCTGAGCAGTTCATTTGTGTGAAAATATAACAGCTTATAATACTTTCAAGGACAATTAAGCTTAGAAACAAGGACAATCAGATAAGGACTGATTTAGTCAGAACATGCAGGTTGGACAAATTGTAGTTACCTATTGCCTGCCTTAACTCATTTACACAATTTCATAAGAACTTCCAAAGCTTTTAGAGACAAACTGCACAATAATTTTCTTTCTGGAGCTGGTTACACACACTTCCAGAAAGATTATTTCTCACAGTCAACACATGAGCATTGCCCTCACAGTTGTGAAGGATTTCATTGAAACGATGCGTCAAATCTGCATACTTCTGGTGTTGGTGAAAATGTCTGCATTCACCCAGGTAAATGTTGACAAATGTTTACTATATAACAGCAACTACTAGAGCCAGTTTACTTTTATTAATCATCCTCAGAATGAGAATAAGCTTAATGCTTAGTTAATGATCAATAGATGTGGGATTTTTGTGCTAAAGTGCAAGAATAATTAGCAAATACTGACATCTCTATGGTTTTTTATTACATAGCACATCAGCCATATGTTCTTAGTACTTCTTAAAAATAATTTAACTTTGTTTTTTTCCACCTAGGTAATTAAAAATATGGGCGCTTATCTCAGGAACTCAGTGCACAGCTTCCCAGCTGAGTTCCTCAGATTTCCCATTAACTCATCTTTTCTAAATTCTGTTCCTGCATGCTTTGAAACATGAGGAAAAGGCTGAGATACTCAATGCCTTCTTTGCCTCAGTCTTTAGCAGGCAGACTAGTTATCC